GGGGCAATTGGATCTCGTCCCCAGGAGCTGGCAGTACTGTGTGTGTTCACAGCGCCATCTTGGAAAAAAAAAAAAAACCAGGATTTTACAGGATTTTTCAGAGGCAATGCTGATGGAATCGTGGTATGATGTCTGTAGGAGTTTTGTGTGACGTCTGTAGGCAGTCCATGTTTCACAGGCGTATAGCAGGGTTGGAAAAACAATAGCTTTATAAACAAACACCTTGATCTTCCTATGGATCTCCTGATCTTCAAACACTCTCTGCTTCATTCAGATAAATGCTGTACTCACAGAGCTCCGGTCGGTTTGTATTTCAGTGTTAATGTTGACTTTTGTGGAGAAGTGGCTGCCAAGGTAGTAGAAATGGTCAACATTTTCTAATGTTACACCATTAAGCTGTATTTCTGGCATTGCAGATTGCTTGGTAGCTGCTGGAAGAGCACTTTGGTTTTCTCAATTTCAATGAGAGGTCGAGCTTCTCATATACTTCTGCAAAGGTGTTTAGAGTGTTTAGAGTGGCATGTAGGTCTTCTTCTGAATGCGCACAGACTACATTGTCATCAGCATATTGGAGTTCTATAACAGATGTTATGACCTTGGTTTTGGCTTTCAGTCTTCTGAGGTTAAATAGCTTGCCATCTGTCTGACAGATGATTTTCACTTTGGTGGGAAGCTTCCCATCAACAATATGAAGTATCATGGCGATGACGATGGAAAATAAGGTTGGGACAATAACACATCCCTGTTTGACACCTGAACCCACCTTAAATGGGTCTGTTACCATCATGTCATTGTGGAGGAGCCGCAGGATGTTCAGAAATGTTATAATTGAGATTCAACAAATTTTTAAACTGGTATCATTGCCTCCCTGTTTTCCTGGACACAGATTTTGTACTATGCAAAGTAGTCTTAGTTCCAGATTTTTATATCCCTTCTTATAGCAGAACATTAGCAGAACATTTAGCTCTAGCTGTGAATGAATGCAAGCCCATGTGTCTCAAAGCTCTGAGCTTGGCCTTACAAGACATGGCCCCCTTTTTCCTGACAGGTCCTAAACCAAACAGAGGATCATCGGCAGAGGGTCCTGCAAGCTGCCGCAAAGAACGTTCGTGTCTGGTTCATAAAAGTGCGCAAGATGAAGGCAATCTACCACACCCTGAACCTCTGTAATATTGATGTGACCCAGAAATGCCTCATTGCTGAAGTCTGGTGCCCTGTTGCTGACCTTGACTCCATTCAGTTTGCCCTCAGGCGTGGCACAGTAAGTGTGAAATGTGGCTCTCCAGTTCTAAAGCTCTTGATATCACACACCTTAGGTACATTTGAGTAAAGTGCAGGGAAACTTATGTTTCAGACAAATTTCAGCCAAAACGAATGTATGTCTGAGAAGCAAAGTTTGCTTCTCTTATTGGGAAACCTGTTTTAGGATCAGAGATGTCCGAACAAGCCTGCAGAAGGGCAGTGACCGATTGCTTCTTTGCGTGCTTATATGTATGAGGGGCTGCTTTCCACTGCTTTCCACTGTGGTAAAGAGTTTGTATTCTCAATCCTTATGTGGCTATTTTAGCAACACTCCATTTGAAGGGTCACACTGTCATAGGACTTCTTATTTCGAGTGCTCTTTTCTTGCTCTTTCCTTCTTGCAACAGGAACAGCACACAGTATTCTCTCACTTGAAAAAATATCTACTTTTGAAAACACACAGCCTTTATTCCACATTCCCCAGCTCTTACTAAAGAGAATGTTTCCGTACATTTTTGGCCTCTAAAAGGACACTCCCCTGGCATAGATTCCCTTTCTGGTTTAGGCAGGATTCCCTTTGACCGGAGGACAATTGGCTCTTTCTCATTCTGAAATTATTTGATTGGTTACCTTTTCCTAGGAGCACACTGGCTGCTTTGACGCACACAGTGTATGTGACCGTGTGTTTTGATTTAATGCTCAGAGGTTTCAGAAACTTTCAGTGCAAGATATTTAGCTGGGACAGTAATGGAATCCCCTAATGAGTTTGCTGGTTGAGGCTCAGGAGGAAATTCTGTCTGCTCTCTTTTTCTTAATCCTTTTTGAAGGAAACCTCATGTAGCTTGAGTCCACCAAAAAATAATAGGCAGTACTGCAGGGAGCTTTGAAATGGCAACCTGGAACCACTTACTAAATCGTTGGCAAATGTTTGTGTGAGTGGATGAGAGAGAGAAAGAAACTGTAAATGATATTATGACTTTGCTACTGTAAGTCATTTTCTTTAACACCCTGACTGTTTGTGTATAACAGGAACACAGTGGATCCACTGTCCCCTCCATCCTAAACAGGATGCAGACTAACCAGACGCCCCCCACATACAACAAGACCAACAAGTTCACTGCTGGATTTCAAAATATAGTAGATGCCTATGGTATTGGAACCTACCGTGAGATCAATCCAGGTAATTCTGATTGGGCTATCAAAGCTGTCTTTCCTTATAGCAGTGGTTCTCAACCTGTGGGTCCCCAAGTATTTTGACCTACAACTCCCAGAAATCCCAGTCAGTTTACCAGCTGTTAGGATTTCTGGGACTTGAAGGCTAACACATCTGGGGACACACAGGTTGAGAACCACTGTCTTATAGCTTGTGATGTATTATTAGTGGAGCATGATCTGATTCCTCTCTTTATCCCATGGACTGCAGTGCACTGAAAGTAAATGAGAGATCTATGTGTGTGTGAATTGGGCCAGGTGGGCGGAGGGTTTATGCTTAGTAATAATAATAATAATAATAATAATAATAATAATAATACTTTATTTGTACCCCGCTACCATCTCCCCAAGGGACTCGGTGCGGCTTACATGAGCAGAGCCCACAATATAACAATAAAAACAATAGCAACAGTAATACAAACAATAAATAAAATTCATAAACAGAAAATAGCAATAAACATTAACAATAACACAACGACGTTTAAAAACCTATGGCAGGGCCAAATGTACGAATTAATTTTAAAAAAAATAATGCTGGCGTGACCAGGCGACATATAAACAGGATAGAAATTTTGGAGAGGGATAGAGCGTGCAGACAATACTAGATGACTAATAAAGTGCGTTTAGGGACATATTGCTGGGAGTTTCCTTATTCTGGGAAGGCACACTGGAACAACCACATTTTAATAATAATAATAATAATAATAATAATAATAATAATAATAATAATAATGATCTTTATTTATACCCCACCACCATCTCCCCCAATGGGGACTCGGAGCGGCTTACATGAGGCCAAGCCCAAACAACAAATGAGTTGGCATGTCCTAGTAAGTTTTGGTTTTACAACAGAGTAAAACCAAAAATGCAGACCAAAAACACAAATAATCAACAACAACATCATAATTACATAAAACATGTGAATACATAACAATATAAAATTACAATAAGCACAATCACAGTGACAATGGGCGGGCTACATGTAATGATTAAAAGAAAAACTAATTAAAAACTCAGGCGAGATAAAAGAGAAGCAGGTTGTTTGCGGAGGTGTGCTCATTTTAGCGGGGGTTGTGGAATCGCTTACGTTTATGCTTAGTAAAGGATACACAGATAATAACAGCTCTTATTTTCCCTGTTCTATTATCTACTTGAGACCACATATATCTCTGTAGCTTTGGAGAAACTTACTAGGACATGCCAACTCATTCCCAGAGCCCTGCCAAATATTTTGGCTGAAGCCTTAGTAGGAGAGGAGGGACGGGCTGTTTTTTCCAGCCCCCCACCCCCTTTCATTTCGCCTCGTATTCCCTCCAATGGAAGTGAATGCAGCTCTTCCAAATATTTGATCTCTCTTTTACTGCACAATATCTCATTCTGTCCCCAGGGCTTAGTAGAACGCTCATGGCAGGATAGCAAAAGGGTTTTTGCTGTCACACCAGGGAGTTTTGGGGTGGGGCATTTGCATCAGCAGAATTGCTTTTCTCTCTCTCACACGATTAATGCAGGAGCTCTTTGTCATCATCTTGTCATCTTTTCAAAGGGAACACAGGATTTAGTCACTTAAACAGTAAATTTCCAATAGTTTATAACCTATTTTCTAAAAATATAAGGATACTCAAAATGATTCACGGAGGAATTTGAAATAATCTTTAAACCACAACATAAAAGCCTTGGTCGTAAAATATTATACAACCACAGTACAGCGAAAACAACATAAATAAAAGTAAAATACCAGACTGCAAAAAAAGAAAAAGATTTGTAGTGATTGTCTACAATAATATAATACATTCCCAAGAGTCCCACATACTGCATAAATGCAAAGATTATTGCCTCTCTGCCAACAGGCACCTCTTGTAATAAAATTGTTGTATCTATTGGAGGTGGTAGTGTAATAAAAGATTTATGTTTTCTGTCTTCAGGTAAACACCTTTATGTTAACAGAGTTCTCATAGAGAATGTATAGACTTACTCAGGGTCTAGTATCAAAGGTCCAGGCAGCATATTAGTCAGAATGGTCTTGCAAACCTACAAATGGCATGATGAAGATAACTATACCTAATGATTGGTAATTAGAGGTATGGGATGATCAATATCTTATCATACATGCTAAAATGGGTTAAACTGGTGAGCTGCTCAACTGACCAAAAATCCAGGGAGAGGGATGAGCTCCCAATGGTAGCCCCAGCATCTACCAACTTAGCAGTTCAAAAACATGCAAACATGAGTAGATCAATAGGTACTGCTTTGGCAGGAAGGTAATGGTGCTCCATGCAATCATGTCAGCCACGTGACCTTGGAGGTGTCTATGGACAACTCCAGCTCTTTGACTTAGAAACGGAGAAGAGCACCAACACCAGAGTCGGACACGTCATGAAGAAACCTATACCTATATAATATACATAGACGTATATGTAGTGTGGATTTTTCTGTCATTAAAACAAGGCCATCCATATCTAAGACAGACTTGTCTGTTTGTAAAAACAGAGAAAATACTGGGTTGTTGTAAGTTTTTTTGGGCTATATGGCCATGCTCTAGAGGCATTTTCTCCTGAACATGGCCATATAGCCCGAAAAAACTTACAACAACCTAGTGATTCCGGCCATGAAAGCCTACAACAATACAGAGAAAATACAGTCAGGGCATTGTCAAGCCCTACTGCGAAACAGCTCAATCAGGAGTTCAATAACTCAGTTAAGTAGGCTTATTGGACACTTCAGTGGTATTGTGGTTGGGAAATGGGGTGGCTTAAATCCTACACATAATGCTGCAGCATTTTTGTTACAGGTTTCACAAAGAAAATAGTAAAGAAAGAAAATGGGGCATCCAATTTCCAGGTTGAACCCTGGATAGAAGTACTGACAATCGCAACACTTAGTTGCAGGCCCAGCTGGTCACAACAGATAATTGTTGATAGGCTGCATCTTCATGAATTTGTTGTAGGATTTTTTGAAAGTAGATAATTATGCTAGTTCACATATTCGGCTATAGCAGCGTTTCTCAACCTGGGGGTCGTGAGGGGGTGTCAGAGGGGGGTTGCCAAAGACTATCAGAAAACACAGTATTTTCTGTTGGTAGTGGGGATTCTGTGTGGGAAGTTTGGCCCAATTATCTCATTGGTGGGGTTCAGAATGATATTTGATGGTAGGTGAACTATACATCCCAGCAATTACAACTCCCAAATGTCAAGTCTATTTCCCCCAAAATCCATTGGGCATATTTATTTATTATTTATTTATTTACAGTTCTTATATTCCGCCCTTCTCACCCCGCAGGGGACTCAGGGCGGATTACAGTAAACACATATATGGCAAACGTTCAATGCCAGTTTGACAAACAACATTTAACAGACAAAGGCTATTTAACTTTTTTTTCTGGCCGCCAGGGGAGCTGCTGCTTTTCATCGTCCATCAACGACACCGATGAAGTTCTTCCGCATTCCACATTCCCCGGAGTCTTCTTTCTTTATGGCCTCATAAATTAGTTAAATTTAGCCTCCCACACAAGGTGGTCCCTTATTTTCCTACTTGACAGATGCAACTGTCTTTCGGGTTGCAAAGGTCGACAACGGGCTACACAATGGCTGGACACCCACTCCAGCCCGGGCTGGCTTTGAACTCATGACCTTTTGGTCAGAGTGATCTTAATGCAGCTGACACTCAGCCAGCTGCGCCACAATCCCGGTGCTGAGTATTTGTGCCAAGTTTGGTCCAGACCCATCATTGTTTGGGTCCACAGTGCTGTCTGGATGTAGGTGAACTACAACTCCAAAACTCAAGGTCAATGCCACCAAACCCTTCTAGTGTTTTCTGTTGGTCATGGGAGTCCTGTGTGCCATGTTTGGTTCAATTCCATCGTTGGTGGAGTTCCGAATGCTCTTTGATTGTAGGTGAACTATAAATCCCAGCAACTACAACTTCCAAATGATAAAATCAATCCCCCCAACCCCGCCAGAATTCAAGTTTGGGTGTATTTGTGCCAAATGTGTTTCAGTGAATGAAAATACATCCTGCAAATGAGGTTTTTACATGATGATTCATATCAGTAGCAAAATTATAGTTATGAAGTAGCAACGAAAATAATGTTATGGTTGGGGGTCACCACTATATAAGGAACTGTATTAAGGGGTCATGGCATTAGGAAGGTTGAGAAACACTGGGCTATAGGAATATTTATATAACAGAGATAACAAATGGGATTGGAGAACAATCTAAGCCTGCACACTCAGCTAGAAGCTAACATGTCTAACCTGAGGCTATCATACTTTGGACATGCTATGACGTTATATGACCGATTGGAAATTGGATAATGATGTTGGGTAAAATTGAAGGCATTTGTAAAAGAAAATTGTCTCATGACTAGATTGACTCGATCAAAGAACCCACTGCCATAAATTTGCAAAATCAGAGTAGGGCTGTTAATAACAGGCTCTTTTGGAGGGCTGTCATTCACAGAGTCATTATAAATCAAAGCTTCACTTACCAGCACACAGCAGCAACAAAATCACATATAAGGAAATTTCTTACCAGTTTAATTTTGCGTTTCGTGCTGTCTCTTTGCCTTGGATGCAGTCTTTTCCTTTTAATGCAGTATCTCACTGTGAGAAGATAATAGCCTCCTTAAAGTAGATGGATTGGTTTTCTGTAGGAGAGAAAGAGAGCTGTGTGTTGCTGATCTGAATACTGAGAAGGAGAAATAGCTGTGCTGGTATTTCATCTTATTTTTAATCAAATTGGAAGCAGCATGAAGCTCATTTCCTCACACGAGTTCTTTTTTCAGAAGTCTTATGGTCTATTTAAGGTTTTCCCTCCCCCAGACTAAATTTGTGGGTAGTTTTTTTTGTTTGTTTTTCTGAAGCAACATTTATTTCTGAAAGGCAGTCTAATTTCCTGGGTACACAGATTTTGGTGAGAGAATAGACATGCTACACCCACGAACTGACTAACTTGAATGAGAAGATGTTTTTGTAGTAACTGGGAATTAGGAATTACAGTAAAGTGTGTGTGTCTGTGTTCTAAAATTTGTTAAAATTTCAATTTTGCTATATCTTAAAGATAGGACTAACATATATCGATATAGAAACATGCAAGTATATTTTTAAATTATCTGGTGCCAAAACCAATCAAGTTCCCAGCAGTTGATCTACAGTGCATATTAAACCAAATTTCCAGTAGGCGTTTTGTGTTGTTTTGTCATGTGCTAATTTTCACTCTTTGTCCTTCCCAGCCCCATACACTATCATTACCTTCCCCTTCCTGTTTGCTGTGATGTTTGGGGATGTGGGCCATGGACTTCTGATGACGCTTTTTGCTGTGTGGATGGTCATCAGAGAGAGTCGAATTTTGTCACAGAAGAGTGACAATGAGGTAATGAGACCATCTGGAAGTGGGATTGAAAGCAAGGAATGAATGCAAAAATGGGAAATAATCCCTGGTTTTTTGTGAAGCACATGGATGATCAAATTGACCCAGTGAAGAGATCTTTTCCTTCTCACTTGTTGTGCTTGCAGCCTTTATTTCTGAGAATTTAATTTAAAATTTTGCCTTTTTGTGTCAGGAGTGACTTGAGAAACTGCAAGTTGCTTCTGGTGTGAGAGAATTGGCCATCTGCAAGGATGTTGCCCAGGGGTCACCCGATGTTTAGATGTTTTACCATCTTTGTGGGAGGCTTTTCTCATGTCCCCACATGGGGAGCTGGAGCTGACAGGGGGAGCTCATTCACGCTCTCTCCAGTGCACCCAGTGTCTTTCTAGATCAGAACTAAGGGGCATCCAAGCACTTGAATGAAAAAGAGAAAGATGTTTCCTAAGTGATCTTGGGACTGCAGTGTTTTATTTGTAGGCCCAACGTCTTGGCATTATACCTCCAGCCATTTTTTAACACTTTCCCTGTCTCTCCTCTGACCTTTCTTTCTGTTACTTCTTAATCTTTCAGATGTTCAGCACCATTTTCAGTGGCCGGTACATCATTCTCCTGATGGGCAGTTTTTCCATTTACACTGGCCTGATTTATAATGACTGCTTCTCAAAGTCACTCAACATGTTTGGCTCATCATGGAGTGTTCGGCCAATGTTCACCAAAGACAACTGGACGTAAGTTATGGAATGCACAAGGAGGCAGGAGCCTGGGAAATGCTTGGCAATGAGATCTAAGCAATGTGTTTTAAGCTGGTGCAGGTGGGGCCTCAGAAACGAGGGTGGGATGTCAACATGGTAGCATCCTCTACTGCATATACTTCCTCTGTGTTGAATTTTAAAACATACACTGGTTTCTTTAACACCATGTAGTGAATGTCTGTGCCTATGCTTTCCTTCAAGTTTTCCTCATGGTCCTTTCCACATAGGGAAGATCTTCTTCGGGAATATCCTGTTCTTCAGCTCGATCCTGCCATTGATGGGGTCTTTGGTGGACCATACCCTTTTGGCATAGATCCGGTAAGGACACCCATTTTCTGTCTCTCCCATCTTTTCTTGCTTGCCTTGTCTGTTTTTATTTTTTATTTATTTAATATTTAATATTAAATTCCCACCATCCAAAATGTTCATTTATGTCTTAGTTTTATTGTCTAATTGGTTTATTGCTACCAAGTTCCCATTTCAATATTTATTTTTTTCATTATAAGTTTACAATTGTTGTTGTGCATTGTTTTGTATTATTTCTCATGTGGTCTGTACTTCGTAAGGCATTGAATGTTTTCCTTTCTCTGTATGTAAACTGCCCTGAGTCCCTTTTGGGAGAGAGAGTGGTCTAAGAAATAAAGTGTTGTTGTTGTTGTTGTTGTTGTTGTTACAGAGTGATATTATTCCATACTGTGCTACTTGAGTCTGAAAGGTGACATTTTTTAATGTAATGAGCTCTCTGCAAATGATGATTTCATTAGGGAGAAGCTATGTCATGGAGAAGCTAAGACACTTTCCGATTTCCTACTGTATCACATAGAGGCAAGCACTAAAATGAAATGCAAAGATACAGAATGGGGGGTGCCTGGCTTGAGAGCAGTACATGTGAAAAAGATCTTGGAGTCCTTGTGGACAAGAAGTTAAACATGAGCCAACAATGTCATGTGGCAGCAAAAAAAGCCAATGGGATTTTGGCCTGCATCAGTAGAAGCATAGTGTCTAGATCTAGGGAAGTAATGCTACCCCTCTATTCTGCCTTGGTTAGACCACACCTGGAATATTGTGTCAAATCCAGGGCACAATAAGAGAGATACTGACAAGATGTCATGTGTCCAGAGGAGAGCGACTAAAATGATCAAGGGTCTGGAGAACAAGCCCTATGAGGAGCGGCTTAAGGAGCTGGGCATGTTTAGCCTGAGGAAGAGAAGACTGAGAGGAGATATGATAGCCATGTATAAATATGTGAGAGGAAGCCACAGGGAGGAGGTAGCAAGCTTGTTTTCTGCTTCCTTGGAGACTAGGACGCGGAACAATGGCTTCAAACTACAAGAGAGGAGATTCCATCTGAACATGAGGAAGAACTTCCTGACTGTGAGAGCCGTTCAGCAGTGGAACTCTCTGCCCTGGAGTGTGGTGGAGGCTCCTTCTTTGGAAGCTTTTAAACAGGGGCTGGATGGCCATCTGTCAGGGGTGCTTTGAATGCAATATTCCTGCTTCTTGGCAGGGGGTTGGACTGGATGGCCCATGAGGTCTCTTCCAACTCTTTGATTCTATGATTCTATGATCTGTCTTTACAACCTATTTCAAAGGTAAATTGCTATTCCTAGAGTCTTCTAGTAGAGGCAATTCATGTTTTTTTGTTCAGAAAATGGGCAATCCGAGGACTCTGAAGGGACAGCATACCACAGAAACAGCCTTCAGGAGACTGCACTTTTATCTCTGCCTTAGCTCCATAGACTGGATTATTTGAGGGGAATCTGTCATTCTTAGACTTAAGGATGCACTGTGAGGCAAGACACTGCCATTCCAAAGGTTACTGAAGCTGAGCATATTATGGTCCAGTGGGGGAATTCCATTGTAAGTACATTTATTCTCTTCTTCCTCTAGTTCTTAATGCTTCTGTTTTGACTTTGTGCTAGATATGGAATATTGCCTCCAACAAACTGACCTTCCTCAACTCTTTTAAGATGAAAATGTCAGTCATCCTGGGCATCATCCATATGATGTTTGGAGTCGCACTCAGTCTTTTCAACCACATGTGAGTGTAGGCTTCCAGTATTAACTTATAAAAAGACAAATGTGATACCAATGAATATGTAATATGAATCAATCATAAACGTTTTTCCAATTATACTTAACTATAAATAATCTTTTTGCTTATGATACTGTCATTGGGTCTCAATTGTATATGTTCGGCAAACAGTATTTGACACGGCACAAATCAAGACATCATTGAATCCGGCATAATTGTTCCACATATAGTTTCATTATATTCTCCAAAGTTTTACTCGAACTAAAATGACTTTTAATAATACTCTTCCCTTTCTTCTATGATTCTTTGATGCCAGTATTATGCAAAATTATGTCATTGTTCTAGAAAGCTACCTTTTTGTCCCTCATGTGGTTTCTTAGTGTAATTTTATATCAGTCTTCTAAATAAATTTACAACAGCTTGTAATATTTTCTAGCCTGTTGGATCCTGCGATGGATGGGACAGAGCATTGTGTTTCTTAGCTGTTTGTGAAGGAAGGGGCATTTCTCTTTAACAATCATGCTGGGAATAGAAGAGGAACAGAATTAGGGCCACATTAAGACTTCATGGGACCCTAAGAAGCTGTGGTGAGATTAAGAGGTCCAGTTACATGCCTTCCATGTATTCTAAGAGAAACATGAATTTACCATATATACTCGAGCATAAGCCAATCCGAATATAAGCTGAGGCACCTAATTTAATCACAAAAAACTGGGAAAACATATTGACTCCAGTATAAGCCAAGATTGGGAAATGCAGCAGCAACTGGTAAAATTCAAAATAAAAATAGATACCAAGAAAATTACATTAATTGAGGCATCAGTAGGTTCAATGTTTTTAAATATTTACATAAAACTGTAATTTAAGATAAGACTGTCCAACTCTGATTAAATCATTCTAGCTTTCTTCAATGTAAATTTGCTTATGTATCCTTCCAGTAATAGTAGTTTAGAAAGCTAAACTTAAAAGCCCCACCATAATCTGTGGCACTAAACTGTAGTTTACTTAGCTTGTGTGCAAACCCAGCACTAGGCCCCATCTCTGGTTTGCCACTTTGCTCAATTGTTTTCATAAAGTTCCAGAGTGTGTGTTGTTTTTAGCTGGTCACTGAAATGACTCTCATACAGGTTAGAATTTGTTTGATGCATACCTTTCCCACTCTGTTGCATTGTTTCCCTCACTGTTGAGTTATCAATCCATGATTTGCAACTGATGTATTTTCAGTGATTTTGTGACATTTATCTGGAATTGCATCATCAAGCTTACTTAGAACTAATGCAGTACATTTAAATGATAATGTCCATGAGTTGTATGCTAGTTTGAATTGTACACATGATTACTTGATCTTGAAATTCTGTACCATTGTTGCTAATATTCAGAGATATGAGTGTCCTTTTTATTAACAGATAAAGTCAGGCTGTGCTCCCTATCCAAAGCAGTCACCTTGTGACACAGATGACAGCTAATATTTACACATTTGTCACCCCACCCCCACTCCCAACTCTCTTGTTGCACCAGGCATCTTCATGTTATCCCAAAATCATGAAATTAGGGGGGTGGGATACCTTGGTTTAGAAAGAGAAAACAGAAATAAAAATCCCACTGAAAGTATTTTGGATAGAGGATCAGAGTGAAGAGGATGAGAGATGAGCCAAAAGTTGTGGTAGAAACCTGAGAGTTTCTTAGAGGTTTATTGGGTGGTGCCTAAATGGTGAACAAATGCCTCTGAAAGTCGGATTGTGTTGTCAGCCAGTGAATTGGTTTATTCCTTCTAAAACTCTGTATCTTTATTGTCTGTAGCTATTTTAAGAAACCTCTGAATATCTACCTTGGGTTTATTCCTGAAATCATCTTCATGTCATCACTCTTTGGATATCTGGTTATTCTGATCTTCTATAAATGGACAGCTTATAATGCTGCAATCTCAATGGATGCACCAAGCCTTCTCATCCACTTCATCAACATGTGTCTCTTCACCTATGACAAAAATGACAAAATGCTTTATCGTGGACAGGTAGGTGGTGTGGAAGAAACAAATACCATATTGCAGGATGCAGACTTTTTGCACAGTAGAAGATATGAGTTGGAGAGGGGGCACAACTGATGCAGGCTCTGAGATTGACAGGGGAGGCCCTTCTTTCAGTCCTATCACTGTCTCAAGCATGGTTAGTGGGATGAGAGAGAGGGCCTTTTCTGTGGTGGCCCCCCGGCTCTGGAATACCTCCCCCCCAAATATATTAGATTAGCCCCCACCCTTCAATCCTTCTGTTCCAACCTGAAAACATGGATGTTAAGACAGGCCTTTGACTTTGAGTAGGCTGAATGGGCCCATATGAAGCTGACACTTAGCACCTTGTGAATTGACAGCAGTTAGTTTTATCTACTGTTTCTTTAAAATTGTATTATTTTGATGTTATGCTACATGTATTGCCGGGGGTTGTTGCTATAATTTTATGTCACTTGTTTTATACTTTTTTTTACAGTTTTTACCTGTTGTATGTTATATGTGCACCCTGGAGTGCCTTGTAAGCCTCTCCGAGTCCCTTTGTGGAGGTGGTGGGGGTATATAAATTAAGTTTATTATTATATTACTACATCAGTGTGTTCTCCTTAATGAGTTCAAGGTTGTGGGTGGTGGGATTTTTGCATTCAGCAGTAACCTTTAATTGCTGACAGGTTCCTCTTTGCCCTCGGACATTGGAGAAAATCTACCTGCATATATTTGACATTGTTTTATTTTCCCCACAGAAAGGTCTCCAGTGCTTCTTGGTAGTGGTAGCATTGTTGTGTGTGCCATGGATGTTGGTTGCAAAACCCCTGATCCTTCGGCAGCAGTACCTCCGAAGAAAGCACTTGGTGGGTTACTCTGTTTTATTTTTTGGGGTTCTCTCTCCTCTTAGTAGGAATCTTTATAATGTATTCAAATTCTAGGGACCCATCCAAGGTCTTTTGATGGGCATCAAGAGAACTCTTATTTACTTGGAAGTAAATGTCAAGTACAACATTGAATTTACGTTCTGCATGGCATTTGTTCTTTATCAGACTGGCAACAACTTGTGATTGGTTTGGGTTGTTTGGATCAGGCTTCTGAAATCCTGCTCTCATATGCATGCATCCCCACAAAGTGGCTAGGGTCAAAAGAGCTGCTTTAAATGTATCCAGCCCAGTGATTTCTTTCCCCAAAAACATTTTCTTTTCAATGGCAGGCCTTCTATATCACAAACATCTATTGAAATTCTCTTTGGTCTCAGAAGAGGTTTGCCATGTGGACTTGAGGGAGGGGAGAAGTGTATTTAGGAGACAGAATATAAAATGATCCCATATCTATGTGGAACTTGTGTGGTTCTTTTCAATCCAGACCTGTAAGACAAAAAGTGCATGCCTTTGAGTGCTGCTACATTGATGCTTTGTGCAATTTAAGCCCATCAATAGAGACATACAGAATTAGTGCCAAAAGTTGTCACACAGGTGGTGATCCTTGACTTAAAGAAAGCCAATCTGCCAGTGTGATTCTCCAGAGATTTTCCTCGAGCGTGTGGTTGTAGTGTTCTTGTGGCAAGCACATATGTCAGGCAACTGTTAGGATGCAACAGCCTTTCAAAGTGCTGCTCGGTTAAAGACGCTCCCTCTTCCTTCTCTGACCATCTCATTCTCCCATGACCCCTCCATTCGTCTCCCTTCTTTTCTCTTTGTTTTTCTTCTCTCTTCCCCATTTCTTTCCTTCCATTCGCTATCAGGAAGGGCAGCCTGAGGAGCCCCCTGTCAGCCCAGCTCAGAGCCCGCAGGCAGTAGAAGCAGCAGCGGCTGCAACAGTGAGTGGATTAAAAGATGCCAAATGATGCACATGCTGAGGACGAGAGATACCCTGGGGCTTTGGAAAGTATCTGCTCAGAGGAGGAGGATCAGCACAATGGCCCTTTCCTCGGAAAGATACGTTCCAATCATCTCATGCATTCCAAATTCTACCCTCAAATGCACAAAGTACATGATGCAACTGTGTATTGTGGTAGATTATCCACATCCCACTCCACCCCAAATTTGTTTTGTATGCTAAGGAACCCTTCTACTGTTGCAGAGGATTCTGGCATGTTCTAGGGCAGAGATGCTGAACCTTTGGCCCTCCAGGTATTTAAAGAGTTCCAGCCAGCATGACCAACTAATGGCTAATGGGACTTGTAGTCCAAAATATCTCTAGGACCAAAGGCTATGTGTAAAAAATAGCCCCTTCCAGATGCAAAAATCTTTGTTTTTTGCATAGCTCCCTGTTTTTTTATGGATTCACTCATATTACTTCATAATCCTCCTACCCAGAATTTTTCTGCATCAGTTCACATTTAGTTTTACATCCCATGTTTCCAAACATCCATAAATGATGATGTTTCCTCAAGAGTCCCGTCCTTTCTGATATACATCTTTGGCTTTCATCAATTTCTTGCTGTCCCTCTACTTAATGCACACTTTGGAGCATCCATGTGATTGTGTACTGAGCAGTTCAGCATCCATTTTTATGCTGTTCCTTTGTGTACACATCCACTGTGCTGTTGTCTACTGATGCTGGGGGCAAATTCTTATTTCTGATTTATTGATTTCCTATTGCAATCCTGAAATTCATAGTAAAATCCTGCAAGTGTCATGTTACATATTGTGTTCTTGGAACAAACCACATGAGTACCAGTGTAAAACCAGCCATGATATTTACCTGATTACCTTTAGTAGGGTCCTCATTCTTTTTGCGTTCACTTGGAATTGGATGTACTGTACAGAATTCAGCATCTATAGGATCTTCTTTATTGGGGCAGGAGTTTCTTACCCTAAGTGTTGGAAAGCCAGAGTTAAACATATGAGATCTGCTTTGCTGATACAGAGGAAAAGCTCATATAAGACAATCTTCTAGCCCAGCATTTCTCAGCCTGGGGATTGGGATCCCTGGGCCGCGAGGGGTTTTTAGATGGGTTACCAAAGACTATCAGAAAACATATATTTCTGATGATATTGGAACCCCCTTGGCAGAGAAGGCACTCTCCGATTGTCCTTTTCTTCCTTTTTGGAAACAGACGGCAAATCCTTCCACCAAAAGCCTTCCTCCGCTGTGATTGGCCAGCCTCTCAGCCAAGGGGAGGACTGTTTCTGAGACTCCATGTGGAGAGGGGAGAGCAGGCGTGCTTGCTGCATGGCTGCGTGGTGCGCATGTGCAGGCAAGGGAGAGCATGAAAGATTGGAAGGAGGCTTGTGCCAGCGAGTCCCTTCAAAGCATGGAGGTTCTGTGTGGGAAGTTTGGCCCAATTCTATCGTTGGTGGGGTTAAATGAGCTCTTTGATTGTAGGTGAACTAGAAATCCCAGCAACTACAACTCCCAAATGTCAAGGTCTATTTTCCCCAAACTCCACCAGTGTTCACATTTGGGCATACTAAGTATTAGTGCCAAGTTTGGCCCAGATCCATAATTGTTTGAGCCCACAGTGCTCTATGGATGTAGGTGAACTTCAACTCCAAAACACAAGGTCAATGCCCACCAAACCTTTCCAGTATTTTCTGTTGGTCATGGGAGTTCTGTTTCCCAAGTTTGGTTCAATTCCATTGTTGGTGGAGTTTAGAATGCTCTTTGATTGTGGGTGAACTATAAATCCTAGCAACTACAACTCCCAAATGACAAACTCCCCTCCCCCCAACCCCACCAGTATTTTTATTTGGGCATATCGTGTATTTGTGCCAAATTTGGTCCAGTGAATGAAAATACATCCTGCATATCAGATAATTACATTACAATTCATTACAGTAACAAAATTACAGTTATGAAGCAATGAAAATAATGTTATGGTTGGGGGCCACCACAACATGAAGAACTGTATTAAGGGGTCATGGCATTAAGAAAGTTGAGAAACACTGTTTTAGCCAGATTCTTCTTTGGACTTTTAATTCTGACTTTATCTTTTCGTCATATGCTTGTACTGTCTCTATAAATGGAGGCTGTATTCACCTTTCAAGGACCTACATGTTACATTTAGTAAAATTAGAAGAACCTCACCCAGTTATCCGGTGGGGTTAGTGGGAGGTAATGGATTTATCACAGTCGGATGTGTATTCTATATAGATCTCCCAGCATGTGATACTTAGTCTCTTTATTTTAAGCACTTTATACTGTGTAAATTACATTATTTAATATTAAAACAAAAACATCAGAGATTATTTTGGCTTCTTGATGCATGGAGTATTTCATTCACATGTTGAATGAAGGCTGCAAATATTAGATCTGAGAGCCCCAAACAGCTTGGGTATGGGGCCAAAAAGAAGTGGTCCATTCAGAATGGGCCTCTCCTATAAGAGTTTTCTAGACCTTACTCTCATTTCAAATACAATTTGCTAGCACATAAACTACTGACTGCATCTCAGGGAATATGAAAGTATCTTGCTTATATTATAAATGTGTCACCATTTAAAATGTAAATGCTTTGTTTTCTGGCTTTTCTTTTCTCCCCTCCTCCCCTCCTCTCCAAACCCTATCTCTTTTATGGCATCCCCAACCCCAGTTCCTCTGAACTAATTTTGAGAAGCCCTATGTCTGCTAAACTAGTGCTTTTGATGGATATCATACCTCCAGTTTCAATGTGCTTAGCAGATTTTGGAGAATAGACATAGGGCTCTTTGAAAGGAGAAGCAGTTGGGGAAACAGACCATGGTATCCTGCAAGTGTTGAATATCTTCCATAAACATTCTTTACTTCTATAGCTATAAAAACAAATATACACACACAATTGTGCAGAGATCAAGGTTAGCCTAAACATTATACTGCCTAATGTGGAAAATTGAATAGTGCATGCTCATTGCCAAAATGTGTAGCCTGAAGTGCTCTTTGATGATTCTTACTCCACCGGATGGGGTTTACACAGGAGAACAGTTGTGGGTCACATCTATTGGTTTATGCCGCTGTTCTTATTGGTATTTATAATTCATGTTGTGGTATAGTATGTGTGTGTTTTTTCCCTTGTCTCATGGTATAGCCATCTCTTATAATTGGCCTGCATGCCAACTTTCCTTTATTAAAATACAAACCATTTGCATGTCTACTCTTATTCTCTCTCCTCTGTTGCCTGCTTTAGGGAACACTCAATTTTGGTGGAATCCGAGTGGGCAATGGGCCAACCGAAGAAGATGCTGAGATTATCCAGCATGACCAGCTTTCAACCCATTCAGATGAGGGGGAAGAGGTAAGTTCTCATTTTCTGCCTGGTACCATAATATTTTTTATAAGAGCAATGGAGTTGAAAACCTGGAATGTGTGGGATCCTCCTTATAAATATTGCCAGATAGAACTAAGCCTATATCCTTTCGATCTCTCTTTCTGCTTGTACCTTGACTCAGAATTCCTCCTAAAAATCCAGCCAGCACAGACTGCTTTGAATATATATATTAGTTGTCCCAATTACCGTTTGTCTTAATGTTAGAAAATGAGTTTTGATACTTAAGTGTGATTTTCCTGCAGTGTCTTTTTCTTGGAATTGGTTGATCATTCCTTTGCATACTGATACTCCAGATTACTATGTATGGAATTCATTCCTCTGAAAATGCTCATGACACCGGGGAGGGTGTAGTATTTTGGGATATTGGACTGGATCCATTTTGAATGTGAAGAACTTCATAGCTGATTAGGGCTGGTTCAAATCTTTCCTACCTTCCCCCGAGGGAATTTTAAGACGGGTTAGTGTTAAACTTAGTAGGATTGCACCAGTATCCATTTCATTGCATAGAGAATTGAATAACTGATAGGGAACAGAATACATGGTACACCCTAAAATGAATATTCCTAGGGCTCTATGCAGGAGAGCCACATTTGTGAAAGACTCATGCACTTGTTTCAAGTAAACATATGAAACTGTCGTGTTCTGAGCCAGACCAATATTCCGTTGAGCACAGATTCTGACATTGTCTCCCTTGGGATACAGGGCAGATTTGTTCCCAACCCTGTTCCCTGAGATTCATTTTTCAGTTGGAGGTGCCTGAGATGGCCTTCTGCATGCAAAACTATATGCTCTGACGCTGAGCTGTGGTGATTCATTCTGTGCAGAGTACGTGGTACCCTTCAAGTGTTGAAGTACATTACAGTTGGCAAAAAAGCATTGTAAAAACAAAATAAATACTATCACTGTTGCAGGTGATGGGGCTGAAGTAAAATGCTAATGGCCCGCCTAAGGCTACTGGTGAGATTGTTGTTGACATGAGCGGAAGGTACTTGGTTGCAGGACAGCAGAGAACACTGTTGTTACAATCTGAAAGTGAAATGGATGTAGTGACACCAGCAAAAGAGCACTATGGAGTTTTAGGCTGTCAAGCTAAACAAAGATACTGGGCTAGGGAACTCAAGTACTCAATGGTATTGATCAAAGAATGTACTATTTGTGTGCTATAAAATGGTGTGTGACCAAACTGAGTGTTCCCTTGTGTTTTCAAGCCTGCCGTGGAGGAGGTGGTAAGCCTGTAGCCAGTTTCTGTGACTGTTCATCCAGACCATTTCTCCCATCAGTATAAATTGTTCTGTCGCATACTTGTATTTGTGATATGGACATTTTTGTTGCTCTCTGCATAATGGCACCTTGTTTTGTAAAGCCACCTTCTGCTTCTCATCAGTGGAGATCATTATACTCATCTCCTTATAAATTGCTTCATTTTCATTTTAGAACATGCACTCATGTTTAAACCATGCATATATTTAAGGAGGCACCGCTGCTTTATTTTTGAGGCTTGCGTTGCATGTTCTTGCTTTGATCTGCACAACCAGCTAATCTCAGGATTCGCACAATGAAAGTAGCAGAAGTGGTTGGGAGGAAAAAACACTTCAGTGTATTTGTATCATTAAGCCAGTGGTTCCCAACCTGTGCTCCATGGACCACCAGTGGTCCCTAAGAACTAAAATATGGTCTGTGGCCTCACTGTTACTGCAACATTGCAACGAGAGCATGCAAAACCCTCTTATAGTGCTGAGGCAACGGGGATGTCTGGAGGGGAGAGGCTGAATACCCACGAAAGGTCTGACAACAAGCTTTCTGACTGCTGCTTCTCCTCCTCTTCCCTCCCCCTGAGCAGAGCCATTCCATGTGGTGCCTGGAAGTGGGGGCGCCTTGGTGTCTATATTTTTAGGCCTGTTCTTGGGGTTGTTTGGGGTGCTGATTCAGAAAATTGCATTGAATAGACCACATCAGCTCTAGATTATTAAATATGGTTTTCTGTGGGCAACTACTGGGTGGCATATATTCTGTATCAGAAACTAGAGCTGATGTGATCTATCTAATGCAGTTTTCTGAATCAGCACCCCAAATAACCAAACTGAATCTAAAGTTGACCAAAAACTGATTTGTAACCCTTTTGGTATTAATATTGGAGAGTGGTCCCTGGTCAAAGTGGTCTCTGGTCAAAAAAAGGTTGGGAACCCCTGCTTAAGTTAACTGCCCCTAGCCTGCTTTTCTTAAGCCACTGCATCTCAAGGACGTTTCCTTACCTTAAAAAATATGTTTTCATGGCTCTTCCTTGAAGAGACAGTCAGTGAGACCCCCACAATCACATCACACACTGACAAACTTTTCAGATAATAGCAGCTTGATGAGAAGGATGGCTACCAACACATTGAGCCTGTTTAGTTTCTTTTTTAGACATGCACATATTTTTGTAGCTGTTAGCAATACTCTATTTTTTGAAATTATTGTTGTTGATGCTGTTGTTCGCTTTTCTATGTCTAAGTTTAAAAAACTGGTTCCAAAATACAAAGCGTTCATGAAGTAGATGTGTTTTCTATTTTTCAAATTGAACCACAGAATAATACTTCTCTTTCTGAGGAAGAGACAGTTCTACAGAAATTCAAACAGTTCAAAAAAAGAGAAGCAGGGAAGTACAGACAACCAATGATCTGCCTGCTAAATCAAGTTAACCTTGATTTTTCTTTTAAGCTTTTTCTATTTTATTCCCTGTCATATTCTGAGTATAAATGGATGGAGGCAAATGGTGCTTTATGGTTCTGTGGCAACTGGCCCTGTTTTGCATGCGGTATTGTACTCCCAGCTCCTTCATTCTACCGTGTGCCTCTCCTTCTATGAAGCAGAGCATGCTGAACTTTGTCACATGTTAATGTTTCATATTAGTGTTTTTTGCATTGCTTCTGAGCTCTTTTCTAGCTGCTTAGATATAGCAGTTTTTACCTGATCTTATGAAATAGTTATTTTTGTACTGCTTTTGATATAGATACTAGTAACTAGAGGTTCAGGTGTACAAGGCTTGGTAAGTCATGAGTGTCCAGCTTGCTTAATACAGATAGGGTGAAAACATTATTTCAACTCAGATAAGAGACAAGTTTTCTTGCAAACTGGGGAATGCCATTAATCCAAAATATTAATTTCTTAATATCGTTAATAGCTTCTGTGAAAAGGTGTAAATTGTCCAGAAAAGGGTAGGAGATTAAAAATGTAAGAAGAGGAGATGAATACCAATCTAAATGTTTTTAACCACCTATTTTGACTTGAGAGGCCTGAGAACAAGGGATTCTTCCTCTGTGTTTCTCTTTGTAAATATGAACAGGATATCTTTGATGTATTATGCCTCTTGCAACTTGCTTTTGTCCATTTAATGATCTGCTATTCTATATAGCATAGAGTGGGGGTGGGGGGCATCAGTTCCCTGGCAACAGATGATAGCAGAATTTAAAAATAGACATTTTGTCTTGATGGCTGTGCCAAGTGGAAAGCACAAAAAAAAAAAAGAAAGAAAAAAAGATCTATCCATAGTGGTCACTTGATAATGGCTATGAAGACACTAATGCAATATGTTGCTTCACCCCAGACCAAGAAAATGCAAGTAGTTATGCTCCTTTTAATAAAGTTTTAGCATTTCAGTGAATTGTAATTGTATATAAGCTTGTTTTCCAATGAAAAGAGTTGCAGTCCTAACACTTTTCGCTTTGATAAGTAGGAAATTGAACTGGCTTTCCATTCCATTTATCAAGTGTTTAGAGTGTTGTGCATCAAGAATTGTGCCAAAGGGCAGAGCAGAAACACTGTGGATCCTTACCAATGGCTCTTCAGACTATGCACAACTCTAGTAATGTAATTTTTATTTCTTTGATATGGCATGGCCCCACAGGTTCTATGCATGAGGAAAGTGTACCTTGAATAACCCCATTTAATTTATACAATAAACATAGAAGTGCATGCTCTCTCTTGAGGGCTCTCCAAGGTTTCAAATGAATATGAATCAAAGTAGAGGACAGAACCATGAAATAAAATCCTGGAAAAAATGCTTGCAATCTTAATGTGGGTTTATTTATATCTATCCAGAGCTGCGGTGACTTCTATACCCTCACCACCACTACAGTGAATAATAGAAGTGTTTCACCACCTGCAAGCTAAATTTTGTTGTTTACTGGCATCAGCAGAAAGCTGTGTGCATGTGTGACTCCAATTCTGTGAGAGTGCAGGGAGTGACTTCAGGCACAGAATTCAGCTCCCTGGGATTTTCAGCTTTCACTTAGTAAACAAAGCACATTTCTGTCCTTTTTTGTTGTGACTGTACACTTGAAAACCTGTGGGCAAATGTCTACTTAAATCTCAAAAGCCCAAAGAGATAGCTAAATAAAATGTCCTGTTGTTTTAGGTTCAGCATCAGTGCCTTCTTCTTTCTCTTCCACATGACTAGCAAAACAGAACCATTTGAATAGTATAGTAAGATGACAACGACGTTGGTATTTGGAAATTGTATTATGCAAAAGCCAATGTGGACTTGTCTGATGGAGATGTTTTTGTTGCAGAGGATATCCATAAAAGAAATTTTCTAGCTTTTTGGCATATTCTGTGTCAAACTCCAAAGCAAGAACACTTATTTATGTATTGGTTATTGCCCTGTTATTTCTTAAAGTGGCCTATTATGACTTTCCTTAGCACTTGTATCTTAAAACAGTCCTGCGAGGTAGCTTAGGCTCAAAAAGAATGACTGGCCCAAGGTCATCCAAAGCCTGCTATGGCTGTATGTGCAAAAGAATATGGATTTCCAGGTGCTCTGTTAACATTAACCATCATATCACAGTGGCTCCAGTTTAGTTTGACCTTGGCATGAATTACCTGTTTGTTTGGATAATGCAAGACGAGAAGGCTTTGTTCCATCTTTCCAGTTTTTAATTTGGGAGCACATTTTCACATAGTTGGGCCATAGTTTCAGACTTGGCAACTTGATCTGGTTGTGTGCAGTTTGATTGCAAAATTATTTGAAATGTCAAATTGGATCTTTAGCTGGTGCTTTTACAATCCTTAAACTCCCTCCGGTCACATTTTTTTCCTGGTTACATAATCTTTACCTCTTCCCCCAGTATGTTGTTTGTCATAATGGCTTAAGCACCTTGATATTTCCTGATATTTGGGGTTGTGGGGTATGGATGTGTGTATGGTGGGAGTTGAAGTTGTACAACAAACTTAAACAAATCTCAGTGGCCAGGCAAGATCAGGGCTGTGCCATTCAATTTCCTGTTGGATTTGTGAGCAATTCTTGATTGCATTTAAACAGTTTAAAGCGGTTTCTTTTTAAGGCCAGTTCTGCAAAGCAATCCACTCCCTTTGCAGTTTAATAATTCTAAGCTCCAGAAAAACAAGGTTGTTTTGAGCATTGTCAGATACAGCTTGCAGCACAAATATACGAGGAAAACGTGACTTCTACTATTTTTACTGTTGCTCTGTTTCCAGTTGTCAGTTTTACAGTAGACGCGAACAGTTATGTGAAATATAAATTGTGCTTAAATTTCGAATAAGTCAACAAATCTATTTAAAATGAGGTTGTGCAAATGATCCTCCTAAATCCTGGTGGCCAGAGAGAGAAATATCCAGACCAATGCCTTACATTGGAGATTTTGAGTGTCCTTTAGATAGAATTAGCTACTGCTTTTGGTGTTGCTATTCTTTTCTTCTTTCTTAGCCTCCTAGTCATTGTTTTTTCACTGAGAACATACTTCATTTCTTCCTACAGTTTGACTTTGGGGATACAGTTGTCCACCAGGCTATCCATACCATTGAATACTGCTTGGGATGCATCTCCAACACAGCCTCATACCTGCGCCTCTGGGCACTCAGTCTGGCTCATGCACGTGAGTAGCTTCTACATGACTAGACATTTAGGCCAGGCTTAGGAAGAAGAAAGTCCAATCCACTGGCATAGGGGAGGTTGTTGCAAGCACCATTTCCTTCAGTACAAATAAACTATCTCTGTATATTTTCCCACCATACACAGGGGAATATAATCTTTTAGAGCTTAGTCTCTTTCTCGTTACGATTACTTCTCATATTCATCTTTCCTAAGAAATGGAGCATTGGCTGTTATTCATGTCTGTTGAAAAATATGAGGGTTATCTGGAAAGTAAGGTTAAAAGGCACGTAGCTCTCGTGGGGCATTTTCTTGGGGGAAGTTGGTATCACTACCATGTAGTAGGAAGCCAGCGAAAGCGAATAGGCAGTGCCAGTTGTCAGCAGCTCATCGACTAGTGTTGTGGTGAAGATTAGAGATGAGCGTCCTCATTCTGTTTCCCAGCAAGTGTGAAGTTTGCACTGTAATATGCTACCTAAATGCTAAAGGCATGAACACTTCTTTGTTTCCGAGAGGACGTAATGTCAAGACAGCATGTGACAAAATGGGTATGGAATATATTGTGAGAACATGAAGAAACTTTGTGGAGCCATCCCAAACAAACCTTGTGGGATGTTGATGGCGGGAGTCTGTCTCCTTCATGACAATGCACGTCCACACAACACTCAAGCAACACAAGAGCTGTTGATTTCTTTTGGTTGGGATGTTTTCAGCCACCCCTCTCACAGCCCCAATCTCATATCCAGTGACTATCATCTGTTCACTAAATTGAAGGAACGCCTTGATGGAAAATACTTTTCTGATGACAATGAGTTGAAAATTGATGTGATTAACTGGCTGAAAAAAGACAGTGGGAGACTTCTTTGACACAAGCATAAAAAACTCGTCCCACTGATTTTTTGTTGTTGTTGTGTCAGGAGCAACTTGAGAAACTGCAATTCACTTCTGGTGTGAGAGAATTGGCCGTCTGCAAGGACGTTGCCCAGGGGACACCCGGATGTTTTGATGTTTTAGCATCCTTGTGGGAGGCTTCTCTCATGTCCCCGCAATGTGGAGCTGATAGAGAAAGCTCATCCACACTCTCCCCAGATTCGAACCTGCGACCTGTCGGTCTTCAGTCCTGCCGGGGTGGCACAGTGGGATTTAACCCACTGTGCCACCGGAGGTCCCACAGATGACAAAATGTATTGAATTTAATGGTGATTATGTGGAAAAATAATGTAATACCTATGCTACAATCCATTTAAGTTTTATTAAAATATATTCATTCTTTATATTAAAAAAAACCTTGTAACCTTACTTTCTGGACAACCCTTGTATTTACAGCATGAAGAACCTAGGCCTTTAGCCTGGGTGGCTTTTTCCTTCAATATGAATAATAATAATTATTATTATTATTATTATTATTATTATTTATTTATTTATTTATTTATTTATTTGACCAGTCATATGACCATTTCGAAATAGAACACGAGTAAAAAACAAGGCAAAAATATGAAGCAATTCTGGAATGTACTTTAGGAATGTAATTAATTTTGAGAGTTTGTGTGTTCACCCTTCTTAGTAACAACCCCATTTGTGATGCATTAGGCAAAGAAGAGCAGCCAAAGTATATGTACATTTCCCTCTTTTTCCTCCAGATCCTTCCTGTCTCACAGTCTTTCTCATTACTTTTCTTTTCATAGAGCTCTCAGAGGTCCTCTGGACCATGGTGATCCATGTGGGGCTCAGTGTGAACAGCTTGGCAGGTGGATTTGGGTTGTTCTTTGTGTTTGCCGCTTTTGCCACCCTGACTGTGGCCATCTTACTCGTCATGGAGGGCCTCTCTGCTTTCCTGCATGCCCTCCGCTTGCACTGGTGAGTGTTGCCTGATAAAGTTAGCTCCAAACAAGTGGGGTGGGGTGAAGCAGAGTTCAGTGAAACTCCTTGTAATCTCTAGCTCAAGTTTCTCAAATATTATCAAAGTTGGAAATAACCATTTGCAGAATGAAGATAAAAATCTGCTATTCAGATGGAGCATCTAGATAATACTATATTTGTTGTGGCGAGCCTTCAAGTCAGTTCTGAGTTATGACAATCCTAAGCCAAATCTATTACAGGGTTTTGGGCAGATTTTGTTTGGGATGGGGGCTGGGGAAAATAACTATTGCCTTCATTTGTTGCTGCGAGGGAGAATGCCTTTTCCAGGGTCATCCAGTAGATTTCCATGGCCAAGCAGGGTTTCGAACCCTGGTCTCTTGGTGTCCTAGTCCAAAACTGAAACCACTACACCATACTAGATCTCCACACTTATATGCCTATAGATATTTGGACTAGATGACTCAAACTGTAGCTTGAATCAAGGCTTCTCCATGTATGCATTCAAGCCCTATTTTCCCAGCTCTTATGCTTTCTGCTGTAGTTTTATGCTCTTTTTTTAACTTTCTGCCAGTTTAGCTGATGATACTTCTAGGTGTGTTGGATTGTAGTTCTTTGCATCCTGGACAACATGGCCATTCATCTTTGTCTCCTCATGTATTTTACCATTTGAAGTCCAATCGTGCTAGTTCTCAAAGTTCATAAATATCCAATTCATGCTTAATGGATTAAAGCCAGATTTAAAGAGTATTACTCTCATTCTCAGTGAAGCTTAGGGAGCAATCCACTACACTGAAATTGATTGTTCTTAAGTCACGAGTCTGAACCATATGATAAGTGCTATATTGGCTTTATCCCCTGAAGCTGAAGAATGAGTGGCAACTCAGGGCTGGGTGAAGATGTTGAAACTGACAAGGGACATCTCCAGAGGCATACTGAAATAAATTGCCAGTCTTCCTTTGCCCTGTTTCTCCAAGGTGTAGGGTATTTATCTTTAAGGTAAAGGTAAAGGTTTCCCTTGATATTAAGTCTACTCATGTCCGACTCTAGGAGTAGTGCTCATCTCAATGTCTAAGTCAAAGAGCCGGTGTTGTCTGTAGATGTCTCGTAGGTCATTTGGCTGGCAGGACTACATGGAGTGCCATTACCTTTCCACAGAAGCGGTACCTATTGATCTACTCACATTTGCATGTTTTCGAACTGCTAGGTTGGCAGAAGCTGGGCCTAACAGCAGGAGCTCACCCCACTTCCCACATTCAAACTGCCAACCTTTCGGTCAGCAAGTTCAGCAGCTCAGTGGTTTAACCTGCTGCGTCACCAGGGAGCTTTTAAAGAACTCTATAAAAAAGCGGGGGGGGGGGGGGGGGGGGGGGGGGATGTTGTACAGTAAACCCCACACAGCTAATCTTCAAAGGGTAATCTCTGTGACCATTTACCCAGATATTTACGAAGAAAATGCCTTTATGTCTTGACATGTATGTTCATAGGCTTCTCTTTTGCAGATATGGAGGAGTAGGTTATTTAATTTATCGTGTCAGGAGTGAACCAAGGATACAGTTGTGTTGTATTTGAGAAAACACAAAATTTAAAAACTTAGCATTCTATCAAATGTCCTTTGACCAGTAGCTGGCCACTTGGAGTGACTCTGGTGTTGCTATAAGTAGGAGTAGGTCAAGGGGCATAGTCTCCTCCACTTCCATGCATTAGCCTTCACAGATGGGGTTACCACTTGGAAAAGGTCTGTCCTCAACTATGAATAGGGTTTTATTGAACCATCTTACAAAAAGATATCAGAATACAGATGGAGAGGAATTTGCATGTGTGATAGAGTGTGCATAGCTTGATAATGAATCTGCATATATCATCATTTTGATAGACATGTCTTGTTCTTCAAAATCTAGCTGGAACATTCCCTATTCCAGTGTTGACTTTTGAACTGCTTTTGGGCTGATCTGTTGCTAGTTTGCGAATAGTCTTGTTATTGCTTTGCTTGACTTTTGAGTAATTGGCTGAGCTTTGTTCCTTGTCAGGAAAGCCCAGCTATAGCAGAACAATAGTGGCTGGGTCCTGAGCAATCATTACATCAGTCATTATCTTGATCTTGCACTTGGGTCCAGGGATTGGATTGCTTTCCTTGCCCAGCCCTTTTTTCTCTCTGCCAAGTTCAAAACAAAAAAGCTTCCAGCAGGGCCAACTGTGTCTGGAGATAGGAGCAGTTGAATCATTCGGTTGCAAGGCTAGGAGGTCACTCTGAATTTCTGGGGGTTGACTGTTGAATTCTGCTCGAGGGGAAAGTCAGAGAGAGAATTTGGAGGCTTTTCAGAAGCTGTCTGTATTGATAAATAGAGAAAGAGAGATGGGGAGAGGCTTCCCTGTTGTATTAGTTGATCATATTCAGAGCCGCTGATGAGCCATTTCCATGTAATATTCTGCAAAACTTTTGTAACGCGAGCAAAATGTCGTACAGAGATCATTTGAGAACTTGAAGAAGTACCACTCCACTTCAAAATAATTTTCTCCCCCTTTTCTCTCAATAGAATTACCTTCTCAAATTTGCAAAATTTTAGTTTGAGGTAAACATGTTTTTGAAGTTTCAAAGCTGCTTTAAATTACATAATTTATCCATTTGAAACTCTATCTTCAGTACTTGGATACAAAAATTGCTGTCTTCTATAGTGCTTCTCTTCAGTAGGTTAGGAATCTTGAAAAGAGCCACAATTTCATTGAACTGCATTATAAAAAAATCCCTTGTTGCCTACTCCTTCACATGATTGAGTAAAGAAACCAAGCAAAGTAGAACTTCAGTCATCTCAGGTAATGGCATCCCATAAAGTTGTACCAAGAGAAGAAAGGACAGGCTGTGTATACCAGCACACAGAATTCCTGGTATATTATTATATCCAGATTTTGCCAAAGAGTGATATTATCTGTAGCTCAATACTCTGACCCAGAGTATTGGTCATACTGACTGAGTCTTGCAGTAAAAAAAACCATTTTTTTTGTTTTGACTTTTCAACGGTTTCCATAATTATCTTCAGCCTACAATTCTTTAAACTGGAGATCCTAGTGATTGAACCTGGAATCTTCTGCATATTATGGATTCACTTTAGCTATAGAGCAGCGTTTCTCAACCTCAGGGTCGGGAACCGGGGGGGGGGGGGGGGTGTCACGAGGGGGTGTCAGAGGGATCACCGAGTTCATCAGAAAACACAGTATTTTCTGTTGGTCATGGGGGTTCTGTGTGGGAAGTTTGGCCCAATTCTATTGTTAGTGGGATACAGAATGTTTTTGATTGTAGGTGAACTATAAATCCCATCAACTACAACTCCCAAATATCAAAGTCTAATTTCCCCAAACTCCACTAGTGTTCACATTTGAGCATATTGAATATTTTTGCCAAGTTCGATCCAAATCCATCATTGTTTGAATCTACAGTGCTCTCTGGATGTAGGTGAACTACAACTTCAAAACTCAAAGTCGATGCCCACCAAACCCTTCCAGTATTTTCTGTTGGTCATGGGAGTTCTGTGTGCCAAGATTGGTTCAGTTCCATCATTGGTGGTGTTTAATTGTTGGATAACTATAAATCCCAGCAACTACAATTCCCAAATGACAAAATCAATCCCCTCCCAACCTCACCAGTATTCAAATTTGTGTATATCAGGGATTTCTGCCAAATTTGGTCCAGTGAATGAAAAAACATTCTGTATATCAGATATTTACACTGCAATTCATAACAGCAGCAAAATGACAGTTATGAATAGCAACAAAAATAATTTTATGATTGGGGGTCACCACAACATGAGGAACTGTATTAAGGGGTTGCAGCATTAGGAAGGTTGGGAAACACTGCTGTAGAGGTTTGTCTTTGAATCCGAAAGCCGTTGGTGATGTTCCAACAGTTGCTGCAAGGAGGAATGCAGTGAATTCTCTGAACCTATAAAAATGCTTTCCATTTCTTCCCTATGAACCACCACTGTTTAGGATGAGTTTATTCCATTATTTTTCAGGTAACTATGCATTCCAGACAGATGGTTACCCTGGGAATAAAACAAAGTTTTAAATGAAGCTGGGGCTTCCTTATCTTTCTGTGTCATTGAGGAGTCTTTACTCTTGCTGTGTGGCATTGAACTGCCAACTGATAGAGGGTTGGGAGTTCATTTTGCCACTCTGGAGTGCAGGAGAGCTGAAAGGGGAGGCCAAGTTGGTGGAATCGTGCTCTGAGGAACAGGAATGAGAGAGTGTTCAGAAACCTCTTGGGTAATACATTTATATCACTGAAAATCAGTGATAGGGCAGTCCTGCTATCTCTGGCTTGTCTCTCTGTGTTTAAATTGGCATCCTGTAAAGGAGTGGTGTTCCAAAAATGAAAGCTGGAACAGAAAAAAAGCTTTTTGCCAGGAACAAAAGAAAGCTATCCAATTGGCTAGCCTACAGAACTCCTAGAGGTGAGACATCTTCCAACTGGCAAAGGGAAAGATCTTTGGAACCTTTAAGCTCAATGTGAAGAACCACCATTACTCCAGATGGCTGAGTAAAGCAGGAGGTGGAGGAGCTGCAGCAAGAGCAGCTAATTTGGTGCCCTTGTGGAGCTACACATTCAATGATGAGAAGAGACGGACCGTTCCTCTGTGTGTTTGGAGTGGGTTAATTTAATATAGAACATAGTAGTTCTCTATAGTCTAAGATTCAGAAGAGAAGAGTGTGTGTCTCTGCTCGTCCCTTGAGAGGCGACTTATGTGCAGTGCTGTTGTGGCAGAAAAGGATTCTTATATATCCTGAAACTGGAGTTTATAGCCTCTCAACATTAATTCACCTGCTTTATTCACTATGTAAAACTGCCTCCTTGGAATCTACATCCTTCCTTTCTCTTAATACAGGGATGGATAATGTGCACTGCAACTATGATAAGCCCTAATCAGCATAGCCAACTTTACAGGATTTTGTGTTACAGTTACAAGAACATCTGTGATTGCTCTAACAATAAATTCTATTGGGCA